AGACTTGGTCACTTGGAAGGAACCTCAGGACATCTCCAGTCCAACCTCCTAGCAATAGAATCTGACCAGGTTGCTCAGAGATTCCTTCATCCAGTTAGGTCTTGAAAACCTCCAAGGATGGTGACTGGACAACTTATCTGGGCAACCTGCTCTATTGCTAGGCCGTTTTTGTGGGAATAAGGGGGTTTCCCTATATCCAGTCAAAACTGCTTTTGTTTCAGTTTGACCATTGTCTCATGTCCTGCCACCACTGTGAAGAATCTGGCTTTGTCTCCTTGCGACCTTCCCTGTAAGGCACTGGGGACTTCTGTAAGATTCCCTGAAGCCACCTTCGCTCCGGGCTGAACAAACCAAGCGCCTTCACGTACTCTTTGCAGGGCAAGTGTTCCAGCTCTGAACATCTTGGTGTCCCTCCCCTGGACATGCTCAGGAGATATTTAGTGATATATATGTATTTGTACTGTTGGGATTGGCAACTTCTTTCTATATAAGCCTTTGAATAGAGTTGGTTTCTGAAGGTGAGAAACATTTAAGCAAATATAATGCACGTGAATGGGCCCAAACTAGTGACTCTTAGGAGCAACAACTGGCCCTGTATCATGATAGATCAACAGAACTGAGCATCAGCTTCCACTTACAGTCTCATAATATCCAGTGTCGTGTCATGTTACCCTGTACTTAAGCTCCTGTTTTGCAAGAATGTCTATAATTTTGCAGGAAATTTCAACTATAGCTGTATATTTTAACCTTCAAAATACATGTGTGTCTCTTTCATGAATCTTGCACTAGTATTTTATGTAGGAGACATTTCTTGAACTTGTAGATTATTATAAACTTTTAAAGAATGAAAAGAACTTTGTATTAAAGTCATCTGATAGTTTAGAGATAATGAATTTTAAAATGTTACTTTACTCGATACTATGCAAATTAAATAAAACACATCAGCTTACCAGAAAAATACGTGTTTTAAAATATTTGCATGAAAATAGTGCTATTCAACAAAATTATACTTTTCTGCCTATACTTAAATGTTTCTAAAATGTTAAAGTAATGTGTGAAGCTTTAGTTTTCTATTGCAAACCATAATCATAGCGTCAAGATAGTAGTAAGAATAATAGAATATGGCTCTGCTGGTGCCTTCATTTAAATTGATAAAACTATTGGCTTTATTAGGAGTAATTTTGTGCTTATTGACTTCAGCAGATTTTCTTCATCTGTAAGGATGCCATTGAAACCAAATTTTAAACTTCAAAAGCATGTTGAAATGCCACTTCAAAAAAAGAATTGGCAGATAAGATGAAAAGATTAGTAGCGACAATCTAAGATTATTTGAATTTAATTTGGGAGGAGGAAGACTAGTACAAAAACTGTTTTCTGCACTGTCTTCACTTTTAGTTGATCACTGAAATGTGCTTTTCTATCTCTCTTCTATCTAATACCGCATCAAGTGGTGGTATTTCACTCTTGCTGTTCATAATATAGTGCACAGCAAGTATCTGCTCTGCCAACTATTTTCTCCTCCCTGAAAGTGTAAAATGCTTAATTAATCCCAACTGAGGGTCATTTTTGATCGGAGTGATAACCAGTTTCTTAAGGTTTGGAATGTTCTCCCAGAATTCTGGTGCTTTCAGCAGAAAATTCCTGTACCCATCCAGTGTCCCCTACGTAGTTGGATGGCCTTTGTATTTCTTATAAAAGCATTGGTACTTGTTTTTGAAAAGACCTCTGCATTTTGGAAAACAAATATGCTTTGGAAAGAAAATGGCAGTTTATAAGGAAGCCTACTGTGTGACACTGGAGTGTTCTGCCTCAGGGGCATTTTTTTTGACACAAGATAGTGTTGTTATGCCCAAAAGAAACACAATTTGTTGAAAAGGCAATTTTCTGACCTATTTTCTGCAATTTGAATTCTATCAGTTTTATTTCCTTGCTGGATTTCACTGTCAAGTGGCTGCTTCTTACAAGTATCATGGTGGAAATTAGCTCTGCAATTACAAATACAAATGTAAAAAAAATATTAGTGAAATCTTTTCTTCCAAAATGATGCAGCAAGTAACTAATCCTGCAGCTGTTGTTACAGCATTAATTGAAGTTAAATATACATTATAGAATAACTTTTTTGCAGTAACTTCCTAGTTTTGGTCTCTTAATCAAAACTTTGGACCCTGAATATCGTATTGGCTTTTTCTTTCCCCAAGTGCAATACTCCCTTCTGCTGCAAACTTGGCAAATGTATGGGGAAATGCATATACCCCGTTCCCACCCGCCCCCCCCCCCCAAAAAAAAAATAAAGGAAGTTTAATACATTTAAAATGCAGAATATTCCATGACATTTATGGGATCCACTCTTTCTACATCAAAACCTGTAGTTTATGATCAAACAACTAGTCTGATTTATAGAAATCAGTATAGAGAAATGACCTTACCACTGTAAATTACGTTTTACTTATGAATGTGTATCATATGCATTGTTCAAATTTGGCACTCTTCTTCCTCCAGCAACTGAGCCTAATTATGTTTGTGTTGACTAGATTAATTGAGTGTTGCTAGGAGTGAATGGGCAGGGTAATGAGGGCATACAACAAGAGTCATCTTTGGTTTCCAGGGAATGCAAAAATGGATGTCCAGTTGGTTGTCAGATTATGACTGTGGCTTCGCATACATGTCCTGAAATGTGGTGAGGATTTTTCAGCTAGCACAAACTTTAGGTTTCAAAATGTAATCCCTATTCCAACTCTGGAAGTGAAACCTAATTTTTCATGCAAGACTACTTTGATGCTTTGCAGAATTAACTGCAAAATTAATTATCTAAATGATTTAAGAACAATTCTACTAGTGAAGACAAAGAGGGTTTCGTTGTTAATTCCCAAGTTACAAAATATGTGCATAGTAGTGCATGTGCATCCCTCTCATGCCACCATCTTAGTGGCCTGCCTGCTTATGTATTTATTTTTCTCCTTCCCTCTTCATAAGGATAGATATGGCCATTCTAGTCAGTGTTGGTTTTTAGTTTTTATTACTCATTCTATTTTTTTCTTTTCTGTATATTTCTGATATATAAATCTTTGCAACCACAGATGCTGCAAACAAATTAGCATCTTAGATATCTACCATAGGAAAATGTTAGAATGATTTTTGAAGGCTATACTGTTGATTTTGAATATTTCATGTTTTCACATCAATGTACGCTAATGAATCCATTCAGGATTTCTCTCTTTTATTTAAATAGATCCTTGAATGTAATGAACACCTATTTCTAAAAGATCTGAAGAAAATTAAAGGTTGAGAAGAAATTAGGGAGATCAGAGGGAGGGGAACACAGGTAATGAAACAGAACTATTTGAGAACAGACTTTCTTCTTTGGTCTTTTTACCTAATGCACTTGATCTGCCTTGGCAGATTTCTGCTCAGACATGAGTGAAACAAGACACATGAATAAATAGGGGTGCCAGGTTCAGTTAATGCTGTGTATCTGAGAAACAAGACCAAGCAGAAGGTGCAGTCTGAAAGCGATGAGGTCCTTAGAGTCAAGATAAAATTTTGTGGTTTTCAATCTTTCCTTTCAAATTTAGATAAATATGATTTGTACTGTTAAAAATCACATTTAGGTTTTATTTTCAAAAAGTCAATAAAATGAATGAGGTAGTACATGGGCATATTTCCTAAGATTTTTGAAAGAATTGAATTATTTCATGCTATTCAGTTCCTCTCTGACTGGTGGATTTGTGAAGAGTCTTTTTATTGCTAGGTGACATAATATGAGAAGACCAAGTCCTTTCACTTATGCTACTTCAGGAGCTGTCTTTTTACCTTTCCTAATTACATGGTTATTTGATTTTTTTTTTTTTTTTTTTTTTTTTTTTTTTTTGTAGATCAGCTTTCATTAATATTTCTAGTGTTTTAAGTATGGTTGGCATAAGTGAGTCTTTTAGTTCTAAGAAGGTAGGATTCAAAAAGGTAAGTTAGGTGATTGACTGGAGACATAACTTTTTCCTGGGTGTGTGCGACAGCATTTACCAAATTTTGTGAGGTAAATGTTTCAGTTCTGGAATAAGATGAGTGATTGTGACTCAGCAGTTACACCATTAAAGTTGAGCTACAGATAGTTTAAAGATTGGTGAAAATGGTAAAGCATGATCACTATCAAATCTTCTCTGATACCTGAGAAAGGGTTTATTTGATCTGAATTTGCAGCTGAGACATCTCATTGGAACTTTTCATGAAGACTAGTGGATAAGAGTATGATCTTTAAAAGCTACGCAGATACCTCTTCTTCCTCTGTTATTTCCTCTAACACTTCAGTACTAGTTCTTCCCAAATGGCTGATGATATGTCAATAGTATATCAACTCAAAAATACCATAAGCAGGATACTGCTTTTCCCAGTCAGAAGTACTTTATCCCCATAGGTTGAAGGGCATCAGTAGCTGGTGTTCAACACTAATCTTGACCCAAGCTCTCACCAGCTGAGGAAGTTTCATCCTAGTAAGAGTGCTGAATCGCTATGGATCCTGAAATCCTCAACTCCTCCAGCTCTTCGATGTCTGATTATTGACTCCTTCAAGCTCTTGAGCTTTAGAGAAGATGATGAAAGATGAAAACCCATTGTACAAAAAACATTATCTGAATTTTTTTTTATGCACACTCCAGATATATTTTGATGGATTAATTTTTTCCACTGTATTCGTATTGCTGTTTCCCCTTCCCTTCTCTTCCACTGGATTTCCTTTCCCTCCTATAACCAATTGCTACACACACCCACAAAACAACTTTTTGCCAAACTTTGGTACTTGTGACAAATGTCACACAAGCAATCATCTGACTTCTCACAAAGAAGATCCAGTGGTCTTGAAAAGCATTCCAGGTTAACATGGAAAATATTAGAACTTTTTGATGTGTAAAAAATGTTAGTGTGTTAGCTGCCCAGTACAAGCTTCAGTGAAGAGTTTTATCTATATGTTTATACAATACAATAATTTGTGTCTTTTCTGTTTTATTCAGGTCATTGCCATTGTTATGGATATGTTTACAGATGTGGATATCTTTAGAGAAATTGTGGAGGCATCTGCTAGAGGGATTGCAGTGTATATCCTGCTTGATGAGTCAAACTTTGGTCACTTTCTGAAAATGACGGAGAAACAAGGCTGTCAAGTTCAGAGGCTCAGGGTAAGGCTTTCTGTGTTCCTGTACATGAACGTTCACTACTCATTCCTCCACAAACTACTGAAAAGGGACTATTATTCAAAAAGTTATTATTGAATACAGCTTTTTCAAATTCGCTAAGAGGTATAAATAGGTAAGCTCTCAGCTGGACCTTCTCTACAAATGTTTTTCTCTTTAGAAAGTTTATTATCTTTTTCATGTGTCAAAACAAGAGTATCTGATAGAATTATGTAATTTTTCATATATTATTTGTAAAACAATTTTCTGTTATTATGTGTCTAGGAATACTACATGCTTGAATAACTTAGTTTCATTTTGCTTTCTCTTAAAGTAGCCTGCAGAGAGAGTCATAAAGCTTATGTAAATTAATAAATTGCATACTTCATTTTACAATCTTTTTCTTTAAAGTTATTATCTATCAAAATACTTTAAAAGCCTCAAGATTCTATTTTATTACTTTTTTATTGAAGTCTATATTATCATATCTGTCTGCATCATGTCTTAGAGAGTCTTACTTTTATACATGAAATTTCATGTTTAATTTTATCTTCAGAGAAAGATAACAGGAAGACTAAAGTTTACATTTTTCGCAAGATGTCCCGTGCCACCCTCATATTTAACAGAGATTAGAATACAAACTGAGCTGCACTGACCTGACATAAATGCTTCATAAATACTTCTAGATTTACTGTACTGTAGATAGAACTGAAGAAGTTGCAAGGACATTGCCAGAGTTTGTTTGCAAAGCTGCAAGCGCTGCCTTGACTGAACTTCCGTACAGTTCCATTTGCAACTCCTTGTTTCTGTAACTAGTTAGGCTGTGTTTGTTCCTGGTAAAAATATTATGAAAGCTGTTCTTAAGCAGCATGCATTTTAAAAACACTGCCCAAAACCCAGAAGGAGGTGTGGTGTATTTGCGAGGATAAAGAAGGCTTTTTGTTAAAATTTTGGATCAAACCTGTGTTTTATTCCAGTTTTTGCTCTGGAATATTGATTTAGGTCCTTATATGTATTCCCACACCAATTTCCATGCTTGTTTCTTGTGTATGAGTGTGTGGGATTGCCCTCTGGTGGCCTAATACACGGAGCTATAGGAGCTTTTGGAAAGAAAACATTAAAAATTAGTTGTGGGTCTATAAACACTAGTTCTGATTGCTCTTATGAAGTCAGTATTTGGCAATATTTCCATACTCTGGAACCTGAGATACCACCATCTGCTGATTACTTGAGTTAAGTGTGCCACAGAGATTGCCAAAAATGGGGTATGTTTTTTTATAGCATGAGTTTTATCCTCCCAAAATAAAATAAAATAGCATGCATTTCAAGTGATACCCCCCAAAAATGACACAGTATGTGTTTTGAAATTAATTCTCTTCAATGTGTACAGCTGTTTTGAAAGCTTAATTTCTTTTGGGTGGGTTTGGAGTTGTCTTTTTAATATGGTTTTATAGAACATTTATACTGTGGTTGAAAGAATGTACATACATTAGAGTGTATTTTGTATGGATTGCTGTAGATTGAAGAGGTTCAGACTTGGCCTCTTTAGTGATATTATGTATTCTATGTTTCTGTTTTGTAACAACAGGAGGGATAAAATACATCTTTACTCTGCAAGGTTTACTTAGAATACCTCAAGGTTTATCAGAATATGAAAAATATACACCAAAGAGACTTGTGTGCTGGCTTGTAATAAAGCTGTTTAAATTAATGGTCTTCTCATCCAAGTGCTACTCCCAGTGACTGTTGCTCTGGGAATAGAAGCTTACTAGTCCCAGAGTAATTCTCCTGTGCCTTTCTTGAGGATGAAGAGAAACTGCTGGTGACTATGAAAGAACAGTCAGTACTTCAGAGAAGTTTTCTCCCTTTCTCTTGTTCCCGTTGGCTCAAGGTTCACAAAAACCAAACCATCTTTAACTTTTTGTGCTCTTGGCTTTTGGTCCTCCCCCTCTGTTCAGTGAAAGCAGGAAGAGGAGACAGATGTATGGATCTGTTTCTTTTTCTCAGGATGTAGCACCAGCAGCATTGGTCTTGTTATTCTCTGGCATGATTTGGTTCAGTCTTGCAGGAGTATGGCAGACACTCCTCATGCCATGAGATGAGGAGTTTCTGTAAAGCTTTTCTCACTCAATGCCTTCTCTGGCTCTTTTTCTCTTTCTTTGGATCAGTAAAAAATGAGATGCAGGGTTGAGCAAGACTGTATTTTTGAATTCAGATTTACAATTCAGTAGTTTGTATGGAAAAAAAAAAGGAGTTTTATTCATAAATCTACCTTAAATGTCTGTGCAGACAGTTTTTCTCATCTGAAGTCTGCATATCAGGACATGTTTCCCGCTTTATTTAAAGATATAACTGAAAAAAATGTGTGACTGTATATTCTGTGATAAGTGGATTCTGTATAGAAGAATATGAAATCAGGGGTTTACTAGGAGCTTTTTCAGTCTTTTCTACAGCATTTCTTCTCGTGGGCTGGTTTTTACTTACTGTTCACTTTAACATTACCAGTGGAACTCAAATAAACAATTCCTTTTTTATACTTTCCCATTTCTCTTTCCCCGCTTTCATTTATCTGTTTCATGATTGTCCTACATTTTTCCTCATTAATTAATGTGTTTCTATTTTTTTCTCATCTCTATCTAAGCTTCTTTTGATTAACTTTTTCTCTAGTTTGACTTGTTCGGTCAGCAATTCCTTTGCATAGAAACATGCAGAGTCATTACAGATTCTGACTTTTTTCAGGTGATTTTTCAGATACTAATAGCTAAATTTTTAGAGAGACTTTTTTTTTTTTTCCTGCTACTGACAGGTGCTGAATCAAACTATGAAATAGATTTGCACTGCAAAACGCAGCACTGAGACAATCCCCAGAACCACATTGATTTCTGCTCAATGCAGATACTTAATTTTGGATTAGAAACAACAAACCAGTGTAGGCAATGTTGTTTAATGACTAAGAAGTCAACCAAGCTCCTCAGCTGATGCCCTCTCTTCATGTTTTATTTGATATGAGATGAGGCATGTGGCAGAGGCTCCATAATCTCCAGAAACCTATTTTTACTTCTCTGGAAATAATGAAGAATCTTTTGCTAAAGGAGGACATTGAAAGCAATCTGGCAGGAACTGTTTATCACCCAATACTCCTCTCAGTATTTTTAATGAATTGCAGGAATGAGAAAACAGAACCACTAATGAATGTATTTTACTTTCCATTTGTGAAATCTACTCCCAGATATGCATGCTTAAATGCATAGTAGTAACTGCTCTTGAGACCTGATTGCAGCCTATTATTTCTCATAGCATTATCAAAATCATCAAAACTTTTCCAGCTCTTCCAAGTCTGAGTCAAATTTGGTTATTAAATAGACATGCATAGCGTGATGTTGTATCTGTGAGCAAACGTCTGTGCTAAGGGACTTCAGACTCCAGTGAAGTCATTGAGATTTTGTCTTCAGTGGTCACTGAATCAGATTTGAGGTCAGAATAGAAGTGAATTTGAAAACTACTTAGCATTTGTACACCAACTATTATCTCTTAGTAAGAAGATAATAAATAATATTGGTAATGATGAACAATATGAGAAATGTGACTTTTTTTCCTTCAAAACTGTTAGGCTAAGTATTAGGAAGACATCCATTTTCTTCTTTGTGCATTTTCTTGACAGCAAGTACAGGGTGAGTAATTGAACACTGATAAAAACAGACTCTACAAATAAAAAGTGCTGAAATTAAATGTTTGAGACCAGTATATTTACTGTACTTATCTATCACATTGGAGAGTTTTTACTGGTGAGAATAAATGTATAACGTTGAATTATACTTCAAAATTTTAAATCATGCTTATGTGTCTTTCTCTGGGAAGGTAGTGGTGCAGTTGTCCATAAAAAGAGGTTAGACCTTGTTTGCTCTTCATCATTTGGGTGTCACTTAACTGGATAGCCCTGATGGCCATCCTTAAACTGCAGCCTGTCCCTGAGTGTCCGACACCCTGCTCTTGGCGGAGGGAGAAGATACTGTGTCTGGCTTCAAAAACCTCTTAAATCACCAAGTCCTTGATTAAATTATTTTTCCATATGCATCCACCAGCAGTCACTGACAAAAACAGGTTACAGGACCAGGCAGACTTTCCATTTGACTCACTATGGCCAGACTTACATACTTTGGTGTGTCCTGTCAGGCTAGCTCAGATCCTTCATAATGTGTGATTTACGATTTGCCCATGATTTTCCTCTCAGGATTCATAAAGGAATTATTGCTTTACCTACAATGATGCATAGCACTTCTGCAGTGATCAGTGACATGCTACTGTTAGTGCTGTTAGCAGGGCACTCATGTAGCTTGCGGATGAAACCAAGTAGGAAGGTGGAGTCCAGCATTTCATACGAAATGGGGCTTGCAATTCAGTATGTTTATATTTACTGCTTCTAATCCTAAGTGGAACGCATTGTTATTATATGTCCTCAAATATTGTCTGTATTTGGGCAATTATTCAAAGTATGAATCCCTGACACCTAATTAGAGGGTTTGAAGTAGGAGAAGAATGCCAGATGAACTGCAGAGGAAAAGGAAGTGTTATGTGAGAAAGGTGAGCGTGATCTCTGGCACATGCCTTTTTAATGCTGCCGTGCTCCCGTCTTTGAGTGGATGACTACCGAGACAGGGAAGGAGTTGGCAGGATTAAGGAAGCAGGAAAGAAAAGCTGTAGGCGCAATAATACTGAACAGAAGGAAAAGAAAAAGTAGAACAGGAAGCAGTGACTATGATTTTTTTATAAAAAACCAGCAATTTAATGTAAATATTATTCCTTTTTTAGATATGCCTACTTGAAGTTATATTTCAACTTATGAGTACCTAAGGCAAAGCTTTTTATTTTTATGTACTATGTTAATTTGCAAGCCATCAGCCTTGCTTGTGCCTCCAGTGTTCCGGATTGCCAAGTGATATCCTGTCCAATACTGATCAGGCCTTATCTCAGTAAGATTTGATGTGTTCAACTGGCATGTCTTTAGGCCAGCATTACTTGTTATGGTTATTTGAAAATGCATAAACTGCCTCTCAAGTTATCTTTTCAAATTATAATGACATAAATATAATTTAATATTGTTAAATATAAATCTCACATACAAATATAATTACGTTGTATATAGAATTGAGTAAAACAGTCATTGAAGTAAATGCCAATTTCATGACTAATTCAGAAAATTTTATTTTATAGTAAATAAGGGTTTACTATTGTGATAAACCTTAGAATGGGTAAAATCCAATATTTTCTTTTTTTATTTTTTCAGGAATTACTTTTTCCACACTATTTTACTTTTAGATAAAAGCTTTTTATTTAATTACTTTTACCTAAAGCTTGAGTAGCTCCTGGAGAAAGAATAATTTTCTTCAGTGGGATTGGCTTGTTCAAAGTTCAACAAAAACCACGCTAGAAAAACAGGAAAATTGACTTTCATTAATAAGAAAACTTCTAATTGGAGTGCAGAAAATTTGAAAGACACAATGCCAGATTGTCAAAAGTGATTAGCAGGTAGAGATGCAAAATTATGTTAACTTCCCATTCAGTAATGCAAATTGGGTTGTTATTGATTCTTTTTTTAGCAGTTTCTGAAAATAAACCTAATCATCCACCTGTATTTTCATTTAAAATTTTTACCTTTTAGAATTTTACAGCATTTCTAGATAATACTTCTTTTATTTATCTAATTAAGAGATAACCTTTATGTTTTATGTTTCCAGCAGATTTACAAGACACTTAGGTCACAAACAAAAGTAACTTCTAAATGCTGTCTTTGTACATTTTAACTGAGTTGCATTTTTGTTCAAACACAGCTTGACAAATACGCTTAGTAAAAACTCACCTAATAAATAAATAAAATGTAAAGAACTTGGATAGCTTGAGTTAAACCATAATTTGCAAACATGGCAGCTTTTACGTGTAACTCCTCATTCACTGATTTGATTTTCTTTTGATAAAAGTTTTAAGATACTGATGGTGAAATACATACTTATTTAGAAATCATGTGTTATTTGGAAATGTGCTTTCATTTCATGGAGATTTTCTCCGAATTTTCTGTTAGCTCATATAAAAAGTTCATTGGATTGTAGCAGACACTATCATTAGAACTCCTACAACCTCTATCTATTAGATCTTCATATGTTTTAGGTAAATGTGTAAGTGCTCCCATAGAAAATAAAGGTTTATGTAACTGCATTGCGAATTCAGTCATACTTTACAAACTTTATAGACTGTAATCTTAAATACTTTTGTAAGTTTAAATATCTCCACAGCTTCCTGAGGAGGAAACATGGAGAGGGAGGTGCTGATCTCTCCTCCAGTGACAGGGCAAGTGGGAATGGTTCAAAGATGTGCTGGGGAGGTTCAGACTGGACATTAGGAAGCATTTATTTACCAAGAAGGTGGTCAGACACTGGAACAGGCTTCCTAGAGAGGTGGTTGAAGCCCCAAGCCTGACAGTATTTAAGAGGCATTTGGACCATGTTCTTAATAATTTGCTTTAACTTTTGGTCAGCCCTGAAGTGGTCAGGCAGTTGGACTAGATGATCATTGTAGGTCCCTTCCAACTGAAATATTCTATTCTATTCTATTCTATTCTATTCTATTCTATTCTATTCTATTCTATTCTATTCTATTCTATTCTATTCTATTCTATTCTATTCTATTCTATTCTATTCTATTCTATTCTATTCTATTCTATTCTATTCTATTCTATTCTATTCTATTCTATTCTATTCTATTCTCCCACAGATTTTGCTGAATTTACCCTGGATACAATCTTATCCATTTTGCTTCATGAACAGCTGTAATCCATCTGTACTTGGCCTTTATAGAGCACACATCTGCTGTGATTTTCAACCGGTCCTTGCAGCAGTCCCATGAAGCAAGACATTATTCTGTATTCACAAGTCTCATATTCCACTATTTCCGTATATACAGTCTATGTAATAATCATATGGATTCTGTTTTCTTACTGCCAGTGCTAAACTACGGATTTCACTCTCACTGGAGTACTTGTAAATTACCACAAATTAGTGTTGCTAGAACAAATATGGCAAGGCTAGAAACTACAGTAAATGCTGTGATCATTCACAGCTATATCCCAAGCTATTTTTATGTCTCGTGAAACATTTTGTATCTCACAGCCACATGAAGTAGATACTGTAGGTTGGTTTGCATTGAATATAAATTTTATTTTTTCTATAAATAAACACCTTTCTGTAACAATTTCTGATAATTGCTTTTTTCTTTCCACATCCATGTAAGAACTTTTTGAAAATTATTAGTAGTACAGTCCAGAAGGTGTTGTAACACTTTTTTTGAATTTTTTATTTGTAGGAGCTTAAAAAAGTAAGTTACAGTACAGAGGAAAAAAAACAACCAACCAACCAACCAACCAAAAAAAAAAAAAAAAACCAAAACCAAACACTGGCTTAGATGAAACAATTAAACAATTTCATCCACAGTCTGGGAGAAAATTTTACCACATTTTTGAGATCCAACATGGAAAATTTCCCAAGTGCAATTTACTGAGTTCACATGAGTAAAACATAAAACATCTTAATAGACTTCAAACTTAACTGCTGCATAGAGTTTGTGCTACCTGTGCAGATGTGATAGCATCTCTGATTTTAGAAATGTGATTGAGCCCATGGTGCAAAGCTGACTGAAAAATCTTACCAGTGGCAAAACTGAAAGGGATTCTGATGCCAGGTGGTATCATTCAATGGATCATTTCAGAGTGGGGTATCTGTGTTTGTAGATATAGCAGCCTTGTTCAGTTAAAAGAAAAGTGATCCTGGCTCTTTAGATGTTGTCTCTGATTATCGGAGATGCCTGGAAATCTTCTAAATATTGCACATCAGGTATTTTTTTTACAGTACAAAACCTCTTCTTCTTGTCAAAGACTTCTTGTGCCAGAATCTCATTTCTGGGAGTGATGGCTATGGAGAAGCAGAATTTTGTTTTCTGTGGCCTAGAGAAACTCATCAGTCTTCAAGACAAAGCAATAACTTGCCATTTTGGATCCCTAGGGGACTAGTTTGATCAGAGTTTACTTCACTGCAGGGTTTATTAACATGCAGTAATATAACTCTTCTCCCACTATACCTCTGACTTTTAAACCCCTGGATGCTAAATATGGAATATAGTATAACAACTGAAATATTTCAATTGTCTTTTTCAGAACATGAGGGTGCGGACAGTAAAAGGACAAGATTACTATTCTAAAACAGGAGCAAAATTCCACGGAAAAATGGAACAAAAATTTATTCTTGTTGACTGTAAGAAAGTCATATATGGTTCTTACAGGTAAGATCAGTCACTGAGTTGTCCATAGAAAACTTGTCATCTTAATACCTCTCTTATTGCAGGTTTGGTTTGGTTTTTTTTTCTAGTTTTGAAAAATCTTCCAGGGAACTTCATGGGCAAATTTTATTATCTCTTCTATAATTTAACAAGTTATTGTAGATACTTATTACTAACTAGCTTAACACAGAGCCAAATTTTGAGATTCTCTGTTAGTTTTTCACAAATAAGAAATAAAGGATATAGCTTTTGCTACAGCTGAACACTTGCTAAAAAGAGAGAAAAATCCTGATTTGTCTTATATTGTCTGATTTATTCTTGTTTAACATTCACTCCAGAAGAAGCTGCCAAAATTATTTCATAAGCATTCTTGGATAGTTCATTTTCATAATAATCTTCTAAAGCTAACATTATAGACCTATTCTATGGCACTCTGTAGTATATCATGGTCAAATTCAGAACGGCTCAAGTTAAGTTGACATAGTCTCTCTTTACATTTAGCTAAGTTTCTTTAATCTACTTTCCATTTCATTTCCAGTATATGTGTGCAAAGCATAGGCTGGAAGAATGTATAGCTTTGCAGAGCTACAAAAAAACTAAGTTAAAGCAGGGACAGTTTCATTTTACACATAATTAAATATTTTCCTTCTTCTCATACTACACTTCTCTCCTTCAGCCTACTGAATTCATTTCTGCCAGCATAGTGCCTGGGTGTCAGATCCACAGCCACTGATTTTCTTAGATTTCCACCATTGTAAGCTTTCAGAAATCTGGCTTTTTATTTCCTCTCAGTCTCAGCCAGCCCCAAATTCAGTTTGAATTATGAAATGGTAGTTAGGCGAGTGACAAGTTCATAAATGAATCAGTGTAACAGATTTCAGGGAGACTAATTCTGCTTTAACATCTACACACAGTGTTAGAGTCTGTGAGAATGTGATAGTTTTTCTCATTTCATTTTGAAAAATAATACTGCTTTAACACCTAGAACCACAGGGGCTGGAATCATCAATTCCTGAAGAAATTAAACTTCCTTTAGAAAAGAATCTGGTGATTTATAAGAGGCAAGATGAGTCTTTCTCAATTCTTGCTCTCTGAACTCAATTTAAAGTTTAGCGTTTTTTCAAATATTACAAAACATATTATTCTTAATTGTTTAAATTAATAGAAGAAACATAGGCAGCATGATTTGATTAATCTCAGCGCACTATTTCCTGAAAAATACAAAACTAATAAAACAAGTAAAATGAAATCAGCTATTTACATGAATACAACACACCTATTTTCTAACACGCAGAAGAAAAATGCAGATAAAACAAGTTAATTGATTTTATTTTTTCACTATTTTTTTCATGAAAATAAGATTGCAAAATTGATTTTTTTCTTTGTTGTAGTCTACAAATTGCATGCTTTCGACATTATATTGGGCTTGTTGAGACATCCTTAATGTACATGTTAATGTATTTTATCTAATTGTGTAGCTGTAAAGTAGCAATAGCTACTTAGCTTTTAGCATGTTCAGCATTTCTAAGTAAAACAGAAAAGAGGAAAATTTCCTTCATCCAAATATCATCACTGCAATTAAAAGAAATGTTCATATCCAATCTGGTATGCATGGTAGAAAATGTAAACTTTTTAACAATTCTGCAGTGCTTCCTTTTGAAAATGTTTTTAGAGTGAAGTACATTCAAAACTGTTGAAGTCTAGTTCTGCATATTATTTCAAATGTATTTTTTTCACAACATAACTATGCTTTAACATCCTCTGACTCAGGAGTATATACAGTGGGTCTAGTCAATCCTGGCATAGTCTTTGTAGAGGTAATTTTGCTCTGTTAGGTATTTGTACTTCACTGTTCTACATTTGTGAATACTTTCTTGCAATATCCACTTTTTATAAGGGTAATTAAGTAGTTATAGACTAGCTCCTGCTCCCACTAAAAGCAGTGGGAAGTATCCAGCTGAGTTCGACTGGTATTAGATTAGACCTTCCAAATCCAAATTACATGAATCATGCTTACAGTTTATTTAGTTAGAAAGTATTTGTTCAAAACCCTGGTTTGTGGGAAGCACCAGTGTGATACTTTATTTCAAAAGAACTGTTTCTAATGGTCATTTGTTCTTCTTTCAGCTTTATGTGGTCATTTGAAAAAACCAACCTTAGTATGGTTCAAGTTATCACAGGACAGCTGGTTGAATCCTTTGATGAAGAGTTCAGGACACTGTATGCCCGTTCTTCTGTTCCTAGTTCATTTGCCCCAGAATTAGTGCGGGTAAACAGTCGCAGGATACTCTGGGATAATGATACATACCAACACTCAGTGTCTTCCTTAGCTTCAGTTTCTAGCCAAAGAAACCTTTTTGGTAGGCAAGACAAGGTTCACAAGATAGATCCTGTTTGTTGGAAAACTCATGGAAGATACGCAGTAAATGAAATAGATAAATATGTCTTGAGAAATCAAGCATATAATAAACAACCTTTTCATCCAGGTTTTAATATGCAAAATCCAATCCAGCAGTATCAACCTAGTGAAAAAAATGAGCACTGGAAGAGACATAGTTATGCTGGGGAGAAGCCAGAAAGGACACCTTATCTATTGCTCAACAGAGCTATTAATAGAGCCAACAATCCATCAAATACTTGGAAAATGCCATCTGATAGCCTTAGTATTGTTTCTTCATTACGAGGAGGTTACGCAAATAACTACAATACACCACAGCAAAGTTTTGCTGATCAGTTTTCACGACCAAAGGTAAATCTTGCAGAAAGAAACTCAATTGTACGGAGGTCTTTCAATGGGACAGATAATCATATCCGCCATCTGCAGCAAAGGATGCCGACCCTTGAACACACAACAAAGTCATTCCTACGTAACTGGCGAATTAAGTCATATTTGAATGATCAATCAGATTATCCAGTAGAGTCTAATGGGTCGGCCTTGGGTGATAGATATGATAGCTATGACACAGCTGAAAATATTAAAGCTCATGCACTGTATTCTCATTCTCGCTTACGATCATCATTGGTGTTTCAGCCAACTTTACCTGAGCAGCAGGAAGTAAGCAGCTGTGCAAGTTCTTCAAATTCAACTATAATTGGATCAGAGGGAAGTGCAACACCTAAGGGGACATCTAATCATGCTCCAAGTGTGGAAAATGGAACAGATAATATTTTAGAAGAGCTTAGCACAACCATCCCACTTAAATCAGATGCACCAAAAAACCACAGAATTCATATTGCAGACAGTACAAAACCTAGTGTAAATTCAACTACGACGGGCAACTCATCTATCTACTTGTACACAACACTGTGTGGAGACAAACATGCAGAAAATTTAAAGAACCTTCAAAATGAAAATATGCTTAAGAGGAGAAGTTTCCCCATGTTTAATTCAAAGTCCATATTAGACCCTGGTGCTAACAAACATGCATCCAGTTATGTTTACAGCACATTGACTAGACATAGACTTAAAGAGCCAGTTAGTCCAAAACTTCCAGAAGACACGCTGAAGAGCTCTAAAAGTTTGCACAGTATGACCAACCACTTGCCACAGGAGGAAAAGAGCCTCAAAGGAGAGCTGAAGAGCCCAACTGCTAGCAAGGCAATCTCTATGGCTGCTCTCGCTGAAGCTAGCAAAGAGGAGTCTTGTAAGGATTGCACATCAAAGAAAGAAAGTAAGAATTCCCCAAGTTTTCTAAAGAAAGGATCCCAGAAATTGCGGTCACTTCTTAATCTCACACCAGACAAGAAGGAAAATTTGTCAAAAAACAAAGGTCCTTCCTTTTACAGAATGTGTAGTAGTTCTGACACTTTGGTTTCTGAAGAAGAGAATCAAAAACCAAAGATTTCTGAGAATAAGACAGATTCTTCCCCAAGGAGAAAGAGAAACACATCATCAAATTCTCAAGGTAGCTTGAACAGAAGTAAAGAAGATGTCACTGGGAGCCCAACAAAGTCTCCGAAGTCACCAAAACCTCAAAAACCTCCATCTGATGAAAGCAATAAAAAGTGTCCTCTCTTGTGTCCCCTTGAAAGTAAGTTCATAGAAACTGCAGGAGATGCATCTACCCCAAGATTTAATACAGAACAGATTCAGTATCAGGATGTAAAGGAAGTCACCACAAATACTACTCCTGAAAGTACCTCTGTTTCTGCTCTTCAAAGATCAAGTTCAGTGACACCACAGCTGGCAAGTTCAAAACGGCAAGAGGAGCTAAGATCTCGCTTGAGTGAAAGGCGTGTTTATAGCCGCTTTGAGCCATTCTGCAAGATGGAAAATGCTAGCCAACCTGCAGGAAATGCACGCAACAGCAGTTCACATCTCTCAGATATCAAATGCAAGACCTTAGGGAATAATTACGGCAGGAGTAATCACATGGTCAGCTACAACTCAACTGCTTACCATCCATTGCAGCCTAATGAAAATAAGCTGAGAGGATTTATGCAAAAGTTTGGGAACTTCCTACACAAAAGCAAGTAGAACTTCTATTGCTTATGTTGAAACACAGCAAGAGTACCAAAGCTGGACATAATATTAACTGGACAAGACTGATGGGCAACTTTTGTAGAGCTTACTTGGGTTTCTTCTTGGGTCTATGACACTGGAATGAATGTACATATTTTTACGTAGTTATCCTAGAATTGTTATACTTAAGTCTTTACAGAAATTCTGTATCCAGAAGATGTCTCAAGGGAGTTGTTTATAGTGTTTATATTGTAAGATTAATTTTATACATTTTCCTTGTGAAGAAAATATGTACTAACATATTGTAAGATTAAGTGTGGGGAAAAAAAGATGGAGAATGTTTTTAAACTTCAAATAATACTGTTTCCAAAGATTTGCCCTTTAAAAATAGGACAGCACTAGTAATAGTGACTTGAATTTTTTCAGCATTTATGTACACTTTCAAATGATAAACACAAATGTTAATGCATTGCATGTTACTTATTTTTAAACTAATTTTTGAAAACCTCTTTTAGGCTTCATCTTGTTAATAATTTACCCCATAGCATCTATCGAACTGTTTGAGCAGCAGATGGATCTATCTTACTTTATTGAGTTTTCCATGTAATATGGTATTTTTCTGAAGTATTTGGCACACAGATCTTAAAGTGGCCTTAATCTGAGCTTTCACAGACTTGTTTACATGGTTAAACTAGTGTGAATGTAGAATGAACGTTAAAAAAATTATTTATAAAAATGTGCCTTGAACATAACTTACAACTAGTTCAATTTCAATGGGTTAATTACATTTGTATAACATGCCAGTATTCTGTAATGTATTCTAAAAATAGCTTTTTGTTACATTTTTCTATTTGATATTTCCAAAAAAAAATTCTCCATGGACTTCCGTTTCTCAGGTAAGTTTCTGAGTTTCACATGCAACAGTCTGTTTCAAATGTTGCCAGATATATTTGTACTTTGGCTTTAATAACCTATTTTTTTAAATAAGGTTGCAAGTGCTTAGACTAGGTATATGAGGGGGATTGCAAACTCAACCTGCAGTGCTGCCTTATGTCAGGATGAATATTACAAGGCTGGGAACAATTAGGCACCTAAAAATGAGATTCATAAAGTCACCCATCAGACAATAAGGTACGTCTCCTAAGCCAAAGGAAGTATCAGTGTATGGTGATAGTTGCAAGTGTTTAACCTTAATGAAGCTATTTAGGCACCAAACTGCAGTCTAAGGGATACATTTTTGTTCATCTGAGCCTCTCAGTCATAAAAAAATTCCTGATATGAAGTGACAACGCCAGATTAGTGCTTACAAAAAACGGGCAGGGTGCTGTGTTTGGGCAGCAGCATGGCATCCATTTCTCATCTGCAGTGTGCAGCCAGAACATCCAGCTGGCTCAGGCACTCCTGGATGTGGGGTTGGTCTCCTAGAAGAATAGCATAACCATTTAGCTGCAAGATGCTCTGTGACAGTTTTGTTCAAAATTCAGAAATTTGGGAAAACTAATTGCTGAAAACTCATAATTCTTATACAGGGTCTTCATGTTTCAGGAGCATGTTTTAAGAAACCACTACTTCCCTCTTAGATCTGAAAGGTCCTACAGTGTTCTGTGGAGGAGTCCCACTATGAAGATCTTGGCTTTATTCTCTAAAAACAAACACTGAAAAGGCATTTCATGCACCAGCTAGATCGATTTCATTTGTATCTTTTACCTGTGGCCCTGGGAAGAGATTTTACACAGAAATCTACTTCTCACCGAGAATCTGCTCTGGCTCATGTGAACTCACCATAGTTATCATCAGTGATTTCAGTGAAGCAGCGTCAACTTTTTATTCATACTGTTTCTCAGGCAACTTTATTAAGCTGGTGCAGCATGACTAACTGTTTCACTGTGGGGATAGTATTTATTTATGAGAGTGACGAAGTCTTGCATCTCAATCCTCTGCCAAAGTTTAGATGTCCCCTTTACCTGTGACTACAGAAGATTTTTATTAATTTCATAGTGAACACTGGTGACTTTGTTCACTCCTTGCTGAAATGCTATAGTTGGTATTTTTCCCAAATGAACACTTATACTGAAATATTCTGTATAAATTTTCAGACCCAAGTCAAGGAGTGTCTTCTTAGTACACCAGGCATATTTTGGATATAGGCATAGCATAATTCCACAGCTACGCAGTCAACAATGCAATACTGTACTTTTTATATCTCTTAATATTTTTTAGCAGAGCAGACAGCTATCCAGGATAGTGCCTGAATTAACAGTGCAGGAAAGGAACTTAATCAAGATGCAGGTGGTGCTAAGAATTGTGGGGGTAGGTTTTAGGAGGATGTTTAGTTTTCCCTAGTATTCTTATGAGCTCTGACATACACTTGTAGGCAGTACTATGTTTGGGAAAGAAATGACAGAGGGAGAACAAGGTTCTTGGGGCAAGTTTTTAAGTGACAGTGCTTTCCATTTTGTAGTAAAGTTTATGAAATCTATTTTAATACAGTTTGGAAATATTTTACTGTATTTTTCAAAGTAGATTGCTAATTAGAGAGTCCTGAGAAGGCAGATATTTTAATTTACCAAGTTGTCTATGTTTATAGATATATACTGCTATTTTGTACCTACATGGAAGATTAAGAGCCTTCAGTGAAGAGCTTGCTCATAGACTTAATAATGCAAAAAAATGATAAATGATCACAGTAGAACTAGCGTTTTTTCATTTTCAGATCTCTCCTCAGAGATCCCACATAGGAATGTTGCTACATTAAGGCCTGATCTGAGGTTAATTGAAATGAATGCAAAAGACCAACATGGACCTCAATGGAAGTAGGATCAGACACTTAATGTACTGACACCACTATTTTAGAAATGCTACAAGACCCAGGGCTGCTTGAGGAACACGAGGCTCTAACACCACAAGAAGAGCAGCCCCATGCCCTGCCTGCAGCTGTGGCTTTGAAGGTGGGGGAGCACACCGGGGAGCTCCATAGATGATGGAGGACCAACTGTTATTTGGTTCCCTCCAGAACTGTGTGGTGAAGGTGGAAAAACAGCACCCACCCAGTCCTGTCTGATTTGCCTCATGTGTCTGTAGGAACCCAGCTGTTCACAAAACAGAAAGAAAAAGTATGAGGGGAAAAAAGGTAGCTGCATCTGCAAAGAAAAAGGATATGCATATTTCTGGAAGGAAAAGTAGAGTTTGTATTTTTGAACCTCCTTTTCCCAAAGCTTGTCTTGATATTTCTGCTTTTCCAAGGAGTTGCATTTCATGCAGTGTGTCCTAAATGTGTTCTGCACATTGCAGGTTTGTTACACCCCGCACACACCCAATGCACTCCCAGTTTTGTAAGGCTGTGAAGTAATAGCTGTTGCTGTGCATGACGGTCATTTGGCCAAATGGCTTTGGAGTTGTGAAACACATAAAAAATGATGCATCATTTCCACACTAAATAAAACTCCATTAGCACCATAATAGATCTAGGAGGGCAGCCATGCAAAAGCTGAGTTACGCAGTGCTGAGCATGGTCCTCAGGACCACCGTCAGCAGCGGAGGGCAGTGAAGCCAGGAGGTATAGGCTCCTCATATGGTGCCCATTCAATTCATGTCATAAATAAACCACCCCTACATACGGTCATAATACTTAGTGAATCGATTGCTTCATTTCTTCAGCCCTGTAATAAACAACTTTTACCACCTAAGATTGCAAAATATTGGTTGTTCTCTTATTAATACTCTTCCACTGTACTCTTTGCTCATGCTAATAAACATGAACTGAATGTAAAGAAAGGTTACAAATTAGGAAAAAATAAATTTCCAGCTGTCTAATACATGAGGGTAGTAGTATTTGTTACAAACCTTGAGAGAAAAAAAAGTTTATCAGACAATAGATGTTTGCGCATTGATAGGTGAAAAAGTACAGTTCAGAGAAAAATCTGATAATTTTTCAGCTTTCAGAAATGTATTGGGAAATGTCGTTGTTTATAAAAGAAGTCATAAGAAAAATAATAGCAAAATCTGTTGCAAGACAATGTAAAAATAGATTTAAAATGGCTCCAATAAGCTGTACAATAAATACTTTTTTTCATTTGTAGTATTTTGTGGGATAAGCTATACAACCAACAATTAGCTTTGCAAATGTGTAATTCAGAGATCTGTAAGATTACTGTGGTACTTATTGTAATTTATTCCCCATATCAGTGTTGTACTGCACAGTACACTATTGGGTTTTTTTTTAGTTTGTTTTCATTTAAGTCCAGAGAGCCAGGGCAACATAAAGGTGCAGTAGTTCATGGGTAATTGAGACATGTTAGTCCAATTTTGTCTTCTCTTGCATGAGTACATATTCCATTAGCAGCCCAGTGACAAGAGAAGAGACTGCAATGCTCAAAAGGCCATCTTGCCATTTCATTCTTTATTTCCTACAGGTGCTTACAGATGTCTTGGTAACTTTCTATAAGGCCTAAAATTTTTCATCATTTTCAACTCAAAATTAAGAGTTACAGTTAGGTCTCCATTTTTCACACTTGGACGTCATACCAAAACCATGTTGCATGTTTTGAGAAGTGTTTTCTGTATTGAGAAACAGGATGGAAGAAAACATTTGCTCTTGGACAGCTCAGAACAGAGCTACATTCCTGTTAAGCAAAGCTAATAGTGCAGATTTCTACTTTAGTGTTGTTGACTACCTAAGTTTTAATCCCCTTAACCTCCTTCTTGCTTAGAATGAATCTCCCAGGTCAGTATTTAAAAGCAATTTTCATAGTTCTAACACTTTAAAAAAGTGGTCAAATCCTATTTCTGAAAAGCCAGGGGAATATAGGGGTCTAGATTCCCAAGTCAATCTTTGTATATCTTGAAAATATCCTTGAGTATTTCTGGAAGAGAATCTGGTTTGCTAAAAATGACTGGACATCCCTTCAGAAGAAGCTGCTGTGAAGACTATGCATCTTTCTCCCACCACATGTGTTACATTAACTAAAAATTCCACACATAAGTGCAAAATATAGTTGGGTGGAAAAATAATTACTTCTTATAAGAGGCCCATGAAACGTGATTATTTTGGTAGTGTTGCTTCCATATGTAAATATGTCTGGGATATAAAATTGCTTCTTTTCTCTCCAAAGTAGACAAAATCGATGACAGTTGAAGTAGAAATTTTTCTAAAGACTATGCACCCACGGCAATATTTTATTGTGTTTGAGAAATAAACAAAATGCACTTATTAGCCTTCAAACACAGGACTTTTACATGTTGTTTGTACATTGTCTGTTCTTGCCTCATTTAGCAACCAACATGCTCAACATTCAGACTGATTGTCTACAGCCCTTGATAATACCCTGAAGAACCAATCCAATGAAGCATTAAGCACACGCTTAGCTTTTTAAAATAGGCAGTCCCTAGATAAAGCATACCACCAGGCATACATGTTTGTTAGATTTCAGTGTTAAAAAAATCTCAGTGTAGTCCTAGCTGATGTATCTCAGGAGACTGTTGAATATATGGTTTCATTCTTCAGGTCATGTCTAATTTTGACCCATGGTGACACCACATTTTGACATCATATCTGTCATATTTCTTCCAAGTGTCACATATGCTAGTGTTAAAATATCATTATTCTGGTTTCAGAGTTTAGATCAATCTTCCTTAGTGCAAGGCCTGTGGATCCCTGGTGATTCATAAGATTTCAAAAGGTGACATGGAAGTGAATTCAGATAACTAAAAAAATGCAACCAAACAGAAAAGAATTTGTGCATATTTCCACATACAGCAGAGGAAGTAAGTAAAATCAGAAGATAAAGTTGTAAGTGAACATAAGTTGGTACACGAATGCTGCAGGGAAAAAAAAAAAAAAAAAGAAAATCAGGTACTCTGATTAAAAAGAGCTGAGAAACACTGATCTAGATGTAAAACAAACATGAGGAGTGCTACAAACACACAAGACCCAGAATAGATATTACTGGGTAATTTCAGAGGGAGGGAAAGGAAAGAGGATTCCATAAAGTTGGATGTAAAAGACTGCGGGTTTCATTTACAGTTGTTACTTGATATATAAATCCTTTTTTTTTTGTTGGAATTCCTGGATTTCATAGCAGCTATGTTATGGATTTACCATGTATGTACAGATACAACCCAAAATTTGTCTTGAAATAATTTATTCCTTTATTTTTTACCAAATAAAATGTTTCTTTTAAAGCTCAGCTCATTCCTGTGCTCCTGTTTTCACTGGCTCATACTGTTATTAACATTTCTCATTTCAAAACATTAACATATTTTTAAAAATGCTGACATCAGATGCATTGAGTGACATGTTGTAAACCAAGGTCCCAAAGTCGCTTTGTGGCAGCATCACTGTTTGCACATCTGCACTTTCTATGGGACAAAGAGTCCACCCCAAACAACAGAGAAAGGACGAAAGCCAATTTCGCTTCAGTGTAAAATTTCTGGAATAAAATATAGGTAACAATAAGCTGGATCAAAAAGTAAACAAGGTAAAAGATCCAACTATGTTATCATCCCATGTTCACTTTCAGAGCTGTGTTTCACTTCCTTGCTGACATTTTGGATTTGTTTGCCTTCCTGTTAATTCTGTCTTCCTAGTGATGTCAGGTTCAATAGTCTTTTCTGTGTCCTCCTTCCATCTCCACCTTCATTTCCTTTTTCCTATTTACATGAAACATCCTTCAGAAATCTGATTGCCTACCTCATCCCTTGTAAATGCTATTGGAAAATATCACTTCCATCACCTTGCTTGAGAATTAGCTTCAGACAACTCCATGCATGAGTGCACACTACTATTGAATGTCAAATGAAAAATTAATTTTGAATCCTGCATATTTGGTCAGTACCTTTGAAAAAAACAGGAGGAAACATAGTAGCCTTTCTGAGCAGCTTAGGGTCTATATTTATATTTAATGGAGGAAGGAAATGAAGAGGAAGAGAGGAACTGAAAAGTTAAAAAGGCAAAGGTTATAAACCAGTGAGGTGGTTACTCAGTTACCACATAGGAAAACTTTAATGGTTGGGGTTGTGGCATACATGCATGTACTTGTATGCATAATACCAAGGCTCCTACTTGTACAGGAACTTCTACTTATGTAGTAATATAAGTAAAATTCATCTTGATTAACTAACTTACCCTGCCAGTAACTCTGTCTGCAGCATTTCAGCAGTACTAGGTAAATATTAAAAAAAACTGAACCTTTTCATTTTCTGGACATATCACTTGGACTGAGCAGGAAGATATGCCTATAGCCAAATGAGGACAGACTGATGACTATATGAGTCGAAGATTTCTGACAGGAAAGTATTTGCATGCAATTCATTACTGAAAATTAAAATGTGCCAATTTTTTTACAAAACATTGATGAACAATAGAATAATTAGAGTACGTTATGGCAGAATTAATTGAAACTCAAATACTTCCTTGCATCTGAGTTAGAGCTGTCATCTCCTTTCTGCAGATGGGAAACCCAAGGCTGCACTGGTCTTGCACACCAGAGCATTTGTGGGTGCAGACACAGGTGTCTCCTCGTTTTACCTTCACCCAGTTCCACTGCCTTGAATTTACCAATAAAACAAGTGACTTGGAGAGTACATTTTTAGGTTTGTAAACTAGGTCTTTTTTAGTAAAAGTACATACTAATCGGAAATTTTGCTTCAATTAAGTGCCTGTAAAATTGTCGCTTTTGATATTGCATAGCTTCGTATATAATAAACAGCTTTTCCTTATGTATCCCAAAAATGACCAACTTTCACACCGTATTTGAGACACCTAGCTCTATTTTATCTCAAAGTAGTGGCTAGTGGTACTTGGGGCACTATATTTTGATAAATGTCCATAAGTAGTCAACACTTAAAGAACAAAAAAGATTAACCATTACTCTTTGTGTGCAACAGCCTGTTTCAGAAACATCAGCCACCATCTTCACAATTGTTCTGTTCAACTTGCTCCGCAAAATAAAAATATCTCAGTGCTAAGGTGGGACAGCCAGTTGGCTCTTACAGTTTGTTGAAGTCCACAGAGACCTGCATCCAAGTGATGCCGAGGACTCGGTCTCTAAGCAGAGAAGTCAAGGAGACTGCCAGGGCTTGAGGTCAGGCTGCTCTCAGAAACTCCTCATGATGGTTTCCCTAATTAGAAGCATTATGATCAGTATAGGCCATAGGGAGGCAGGTAGTTGCTATATACTTATTCTTACACTGCTAAGCCTGTCAGCCAGAGAAGTGCTGTAGAGGTGTCAGGCATGCTTTGAGATTCATATCCTCTGTTCCTCCTCTTCTGAGTAGGACAAGGGTTTGAGGGAAAACACAAAAGAGCTGAAGGAAAAGAGATCTGGGAAGATCAGAAGCCTGTTTGTCAGCAGGTTTTGATCTCACACCCCACATATAAAAACCTTTAGGAGGACAATATCAGTCACTGGTTACTTGACACTCAAGGAAACTGCTGGGTTTTAGCTATTTCACTGACACCCATCTCTGTCTCAGAGGGCCCCTGCACTGGTAATTCTTAGTAGTGGGGGGGAATATTCTGAAGAAATGTTACTGTACACAATCTCTTTTAAGCCAAATAACTCACAGCAGTCTCTCCGCCATTGTCCAAGGGATCATGCCATCATCCTTTGATGCTTCAAATGATTGGCTGGAGGCAGGATCACAAATCACAGATCTAAAAGAGTGTCCTTCCCACTCTCGGGGAAGA